GAAGGTTCTTTCCCACGCTGACTGCTGTAGGTGAATCTTTCCTCTAGGAACAGCCTTCTGCTCTTTTGCTCACAGACTCTTGACTCCAATAGGAAGAATCTTCCAGTAGAGGTTGGTATTCGACGCTCCCTAAAATACTGCCCTATTCTGCCTTCCCTTCGTTGTCCTGTACTGTTCCCTGCCCCCAACAGTTTGCCTATTTTCTGTCTTAGCAGTTATATAGGCATACCTGACAATTAGGGCAATCTGGATGTTCTCTGAGAACATAGGTGCATAAACACAATGATCCCAATAAGCTGCTGTGGGTGAATATCAAGATTTTGCTTGTGAACTGGGCATGGTGGTTCATGCCTGTATCCCAGCACTCAGGAGGCTCAGGCAGACAATGTTCTGAGTCTGAGGCTAGCCTAAGGTATAGAGTAAGACCTTGTCTCAAAAAACAAGCAAAAGAACATTCAATGATTCTTGCTGTGAATGTGTGACTGAGATAATGAGGCATTAACAGAATTTATGATTCAGTGGGTGGAAATTTGACTTAAATATAAGATAGATAGTCAACTCAGAACACAGAAAATGAACATTTCAAAAAGCTAGAGATCGGCATATTTCATAGGGATGCTGAATTTGGGGACATGACTTTACAGTTCTTAGTGAGGCACAGTCTGCAATGAAGCCTCACAATGGGACTCACGATGATTCAATAACATCTCTTATTGTAGTTCCGACATGACTGGCAGCAGCAGAACAAAGCAGGTCTGTCCTTCCCCCTGCTCTCTGTTTCTATTAGGATGGGGACCCCAGAGCTGTCACCTCTCTCTCTGTCTCTCTCTCTCTTTTTTTTTTGGAGCTGAGGATCGAAACCAGGGCCTTGTGTTTGCTAGGCAAGTGCTCTACCACTGCGCTAAATCCCCAACCCCATGGAGCTGTCACTTCTAAAGAGGCTTTTGACCATGAATCCACAGACCAGTGCACAATGTAATGTGTCAAAAGTTTCCACAGTGTAAAGCAGCATGTTATCTAGTCTGGTATCTGAGGCAACATTCACTTTCTAAAACCCAATTCATTTCTTTTCCTTTAAATTCTGTACAATGGGCCAGCTTACCATCTAACACTGAAGAATGACTTTAGAGAACATGATGCTTTGTGTGAACCAAAGGTATGAGAAGAGAACTCACCTTTGTTAAGTGCTATGGGCAAGACCAAATGCCTGGACAAAACTGGGGGGCTGGAAATATCAGCTATATCAATAAAGCCCACTATTTCCAAATCTGTAAGGGAGGAATCAACACAGAATTATTCACAATAGGGAAACTACATTGTTGTCTATGTGTTAGATCCTATAAACACTGTTTTAAGGGGAAGATTTCAAATATGAAACCTGGGGAATTTGTTAAACTTTTCTGAGGATCATGAATAATTTTCATTTTAAGTAGCTCAAACAATCATGACTCTTATTTAATGAATTCAAGTTTTAAAACAAAACTAGGTAAACTTTATTTTTAGGAGGCTAGGACCTTAACCAAGGCAAAAGCTGAAAGGTCAAATTCCTCTGTATAATCAAGGGTAGTAGGTCACAGCAGGTGGAAAATTAAGCACCTACCATACCCTTATTCAGCCTTTGGAAAGTAAAACTGTCACTTGAAGAACATTCCTTTGGGGTGGGAGAGGGGCCTTGTAGTTAAGAGTGATTGAGCATGAGACTCCGTTAGAATCCCCAGCATTCCACAAAACAAAAACAAAATCAAAAACAAAAAAACAGGGCATAACTGATGGCCTGTAACTCCAGGATTGGGGGTTGTTGACAGGGAGATCCTGGGAGACTGCTGGCCAGCCAGCAGAGGCAATGGAATGGGAGCTTCTAGTTTAGTGAGACCTTGTCTCAAGGCAATAAGGCAGGAATGATAGAGAAGATCCCCCATGTCTTCTTCTGGCCTCTATATACACCTGCATGGGTACATGCACCTGTACACTTATGTGTGTATACCACATCCACATCCAAAAAGAATATTTCCTTGAGAGAGAAATACATTCTATACAAAATCAATATAATAGTGATTTCTTCCCTTTATAGTAACTATACTACAGCCTCAAATTATTTCCTGAAAACCTAAAACAAATAAAAGCTCATGGGTGGGCATGGTGGTACATGCCTTTAATCTTAGTACCCGGGAGACAGAGATTGGTGGCCTGCTTTATGTGATGAATTCTAGGCCAGCCAGAGCTACCTAGTGAGACCCTGTCTCAAAAATAAAATAAAAAGTTAAAGTTAAGCAGAATTATTATTATTATTATTATTATTATTATTATTATTATTATTATTATTATTATTATTATTTGAGACAAGGTTTCTCTGTGTAGCCCTGGCTGCCATGGAACTCACTCTGTAGACCAGGCTGGCCTTGAATTCAAAGATCCACCTACCTCTGCCTCTCAGTACTGGAATTAAAAGGCGTGTGCCACCAACCAACCACCACCACCGGCTAAATCAAATTTTTAATAAAATGTTTGATTATATAAGTAATTAACACAAAACTTTGAAAACACTAAAAATTGTAAAGAAAACAGACTCATTCACTATTCTTCATAGAAAGAAACCTTTCAAGGTATTTATTGATTTGTTTTTTAATTTTTCTTCTAAGTGTATCAACAGCACAGCCATATTAGCAAAACAATTTTAAAATAGCAGAATCGTGCCAAGTAATGACTCTTCTGATACACCAGGGTATGTACTTCCCTGGAGACCTGCGGTCAGCACCTCCCCAGGCAAGCATCTAATAGCTGGCAGCTTTCACTTGAGTAGAAATGAGTCTACAACAAACACTAAACAGTGATTTAGGTAGAAATTACACAAGTATCTTAAAATTAAAAGCTCATATTGGAAAGAAAAGAAATATTCAGATAAGGGGCAGGAAGGAAGTAGAATTTAACTGGTTTGAAGGCAACAAAACATTAGGTGCATTAATATACTCTGTTACAATTAACCCACATGGGTATGTATTTCCAGACAGCCAAAAGCTAAAGCAAAAAGTATGCTCACAGTTTTTCATTCTAAAATTTCTACACCTCAAACAACAAACATTTATTTACCACACACTTATTTTTAATCATTTATTGACTGGGCAATTATCCATTGAGCATCTAGTAGGTGTCGGACTATATTAGACCAGGTATCAACAAGACTAACTAAGTGGTGATATCCATCCCTGAGAGCTTTGGCATACACTCACCAATCAAGGAGTTCTCCAACCAGTGGGAGACAATTCTCTTTCTTGCCTGCTAGTTTTCACTATTAAGGTTGTTAAATTCAGCTAAGCATAGTACAAAAATGTACTAGATGAAAGCAGTAGGATGCAAAAACATTTTGTTTTAGTTGTAATACAAGAAGCAGGGCTGGAATGGTTCAGTCTATCAGAATGAAGAGTTTAGCAACTGACTGGTTCATTCCCCACACCTAGTCAATAAGGACTGGAAGAAACAACTTCCAGGGTCACAGCAAAAGTCAGAGCCAAGTCTGGAAGACAACTCTTCATATACTTTAGTTATGATGATAATTAATCTCAGTGTCTTTACTAAAAATCATCTCAGGTGGCTAAACTAACTCAGCTGGGAGAACACTAGACTGAAGAAACACCTTATCATTTTAAATCAATCTTTATTTCTTACTAGAGTAATATGTAGTTATAGTGACTGGAGACTGGAGATTAACTCAAGTTCTCACCATAAAAGACGATAACTTGCCACCTCTTAGTTAAGATAAAGATAACAGGAAAATTAAGAAGGAAGTTTCAAAAAAGTTACCTGTGTTAATGACTTTAGGGATAGGATCAATTTCTTCATCTATAACAAAAGGCTCTGGCCTGGGGAAGACTTGTACATCAGCTGTTAGGTGGCCACACTTGAGAACAGCATGGAAAGGCGTATACGCCAGATCTATCAGTTTCCTAGAATATGTTACAGGGAACAGTGATAAGGCACATATACAAGAAATCTTTTTTTTTTATTAATTTATTTTTTATTTTATATGCATTGGTGTTTTGCCATGGGTGTCAGGTCCCCTGAAACTAGAGCTACAGACAGTTGTGACTGCCATGAGGGTGCTGGGAATTGAACCCGGGTCCTCTGGAAGAGCAGTCAGTGCTCTTAACCACTGAGCCATTTCTCCAGTCCTACAAGAAATCTTTAAACATTCAGATTTTGTTACTCTTTCCCACTGGTTCTAAGACTAAACCTGAGTATCTGTGACAGCAATACAAGCTGACATCTGTGATAAGCTTTCCAGGAAAGAAGGCCCGGACAATTTAACCTTTGAAACTGCTGAGCCATTCTAAAGGAAGTCAGTGTGGCACGCGTCATAGTCTTAGTCATGCCTAACTGAAAAAACGAGCCAACTTTTAAACTACTACTTCTAATCATTTTATCCAAGAAAGGGGCCCCTGAGGAAAATTTAATCACACAATCAGCAATAATAAAACAGATATTCCTCCTGGCTGTCATACTATAGTCTGTAAATATAAAGGAGAAAAAGCTTTACACATATACTCACCCAAACATAGACTGTACATTTTTCAAACACAGGGGGCCATCAATAGTAAAAATTTGCCCTTCACCATTGTTTAAGTCTATGAGTCGTTCAAGGCATTCCAAGGAATCAGTGCTCTGAAGCTGCAAGGCAAAAGAGATGACCCCTTTACCACTGCACAAATTACCAATCACTCAGTACACCAAGGCTAACACCATCATGACACCGGCAGGAAATGCCTGGGATGATTTTCTTAACAGAAAATGACAAAGAAATAACTACTATTTGACTCAAAAGCTACAAAAGAGTAAAGTAATAAAGAAATGTCACCAGAGGCCAGGTGATGGTGGTGGCGGTGGCGGCGGCGGCAGCGGCGGCGGCGGCGGCTCACGCCTTTAATCCCAGCACTCGTGAGGCAGAGGCAGAGGCAGATCTCTGTGAGTTTGAGGCCAGCCTGGTCTACAGTGTGAGTTCCAGGACAGGCACCAAAGCTACACAAAGAA